AGGTAAATGGGAATGGGAAAAAATGGTACAATAAGGAACAAAGAAACATTTTTATTAAAATGTATATCTGCCAAGACATCACCATGTTCCACTACTTGGCACCACTCTGCCTACAAAGCCTTTTCTGAGTTTTTCTGCCAGAGTGGACTGGCCTCCTCTGCTCGCTCTGCCTGTGGTTGTCACTGGTCATAGACCTGCCCCGTAGTCTGCGTGTGCCTAGTGTGTATGTGCCCACTGTCCAGGACATATAGGTGCCCTTAGCTAACATGATTTTCCCCCAAGATGGCATCCTCAAGGCAGAGAGGGTCTGGTCTATCTCTGTGGTACATGGAGCAAGGAGCTGCTGTAGCAGGTGAATGTTTAATGACAAATCTGAAAGAAAACTCCCTGGTAGGATGGAGTTCTCGTCCCATAAAATGCTGTCAAGGTCAAGCACATCTAGGACACTCTCATTCCCTCCCTGGATCATTTCCTCCCCCTTCAAAATCCTTTCTCTTTCATCTGCCGACTCCCTGAGAAGCCACCTATAACCTAAAGCCCAAAACTGTGGAACTCCAACTGCCTCTCTCTCCTGAGGACCCCAGACCTCAAAATGCCTCCCTTTCTGCTTCTGCTCTTCCGTCCCAGACATTAAAGTCCTTTCTTTATTTCAGAAGAAGAACTTGTTTTCACTTAAAAAGGGAGCAGTGGTTTGATGTGAGTGTCAGTAGTTGGAGAAATTTCAAGAATAATGATAAAAGGCGGAGAAAATTGCCAAGCCTGTCATATCAAACCCCTGCCAGAGATAAACTTGTAAGCATGACTTTAAATCACGTTGATCCTCTCTCTTCCGGCCTGGTCAAGTATATTAAAGAAAGCTGCAAGCACAGAAGTTTGGTCAGTATTTACCCACCAAGCTCTCCACACTGGCTTCTAACTCACAGTACTGGAATTAGAGCGGTTTTGTACAAGCTCATGGTGGGTATTTGCTTCCTCCCAGGAGAGCAAAATGAACTCCTATGAAAAGTAGCCTCCTATTCAGAGCTTACGCCAGATACCCAAAAGTGCCCTAAATAAGAAAAGGTTAAGAACCTTACAGTAACACAAGACTCTTAATTATATCTCAGAGAGGTGTGACTCAATCTTATTACAAAATATCTCAGCGATAAAGACCTTTCCCAGTTAACCTTTTAATGTTGTTGTTCACCTTATCTTTTTTCAACCTGTAAGCATTTGGACTTTCCAATATATTTTCAGCAGTGCATTTTTCACTGCTGTGTTTCAAAATCTCATTTAAAAAAAAATATTCCAAGCTCCGCACAAGCAGAGCCCCACCCCCCAGCCCCTGCACACATATGATCCTCTGGAAACTAGGTCAGTGGCTTTAATACCATGAAAATATTGGAAACATGCTGTGAAGATATCAGTGCATAATCCCTTCAGCAGCGTTTCCAAGTTTGCAAATGAAACCGCAACAGAAAGAAATATTCATGTAAGGATACACAAGAAAGGAATAAAGACTCAAAACCTAAGACTTAAGAAGAAACTTGAAGGTAATTCTTTGTCTTTCTTTGCTGTGCTTGGAATTATTACTGTTTCTCCAATAAATAGTTATTTATTTATTACCAAAGACCTCTGATGACAAAGAATTCACTACCAACCACCCCAGGTGTTTTGTTCTGGTGTCACCATTCCCAAATCAGAAGACTTAACTCTAATTTAGTCAAAATCTCCCTTCTCATCAGATTGCTTTAGAAATCTGGGAACTGCAACTCCCTCCTTTATGTAAGTTATCTTTTTAAAGAAAGAGTAGATGGCAGCTTCTTGGTCTTTTTTTCTTGTCACCTAGGGGTGAAACATGCCCTGCTTCTATTGGCTTTTCTCCACGGTCCCATCTGCTGTGCAGCTGGACCTAGCAATGACAGAGCCTTACTGGTAGAATGAATGAGGCAGGCTTGGTGGTACAGGCCAGGAATTTCAGCACTTGGGAGACTGAGGTAGGAGGCTCACCAGGAAGGAGGAGGAACAGATGAGCACCCATCTGTGGAAGAAAGAGATGGCAAGAGGCGCCCACGTTTCCAAGTCCCAGTGTCCTCTGGCACTTCCCGGTATGGTGAGGCAGGGTGCTCTGTCACTAACCCTAGCTCAGATCCTCATTTCCTGAAGGTGAGATGCAAGGACTCACCTCTGAGTTTTCGCATCTGCCCTGAGACCTAAGTGTAAAACAAAGAAGGCACAAGCATCTCCCGGCTTCCTGCATTCAGGGTTTAAAAATAATCAATGCCTTTGGGATTCAGCAGAGCATCTAACAAAGCAGAGCTTCGTGTGTAGGAAAATAAAAGCAAGAGAAAATTCAAGAATATCTTTCCGATTAAATATTCTTTATTATTATTATTATAAAAATAAAATTATGTGTTTCAAAAAAATATCACCATTAGGTTAGCCACGGTGAGTAGGAATACAGAATATGCCGCCTGGGGAAGTAAGGCTGCATCGCGGCTACACCCCTTGCTTTCCAGAAGATTTTAAAAAGTTATTTCATGTCTGTGTCCCCTAGTTCCCACAACGATAAAGAACTGGGCATGTTAGGGTATATTAATACAACTGGCCAACGGGCTTTCCGTCAACGCTGAGTGCAGTGCGAAGTATCCCGGTTCATTACGCATCGCTTTCTTCCAGCTACTCATTGTCTCATGTTGCCGCGGTCACATTTGCGCGGGCTTAACCTGGCCAGCAGAAATGTGCCTGTGAAACCGTACCCAAAAGACACCTTGGGGAAATCTGATCGCTTTCCCTTCTATATCCATCGTAACGTGGTCCAACAACAACCCAACAAGACAGTCTGGTTCAGAAGAAAGAGTGCTGGAACTAATTATCACGAGACCTGGTTCCCATCCCCTTGTGTCTCGAATTCCTTGGCTGGTTTTTATGGCCCTGTTTGCCATTCTGTACCTCAGCGTCGCCAGCCAGAACCGTCACGGAGGGGGAAGCTCAGTACATAATACGTTTAGCCAGTGGTTCTCATCATAATCCTCTTCAGGTCTGCTGATAAATAGGAGATTCCCTGACTCCAAATGTTTCCATTCTCTCTTGTGGACTCCTCGAGGCCAGCAGTCTTGGGCTTGGAATGGCTAGTCTTTGTCTTCCTCCTCCTCCTCCTCCTCCTCCTCC